AAGAAGAAAGGAGGAGGGTGGTATGGAAATTGGAAAGGAGAAGAGATGAGTGAGCTTGACCAGTGTGAAAGTGGAATTGAATTGAGGAGCAGAGCACACGTTAATTACGCAATTTCCTATTCTCCCCCAAAATAGATAGGTTAGTCACCAGGCTAAGCTATTCAATATTACTGTGAATTTCATCAAAATCGAGGGTGTTTCCGTCCAAACATTTCTTGGCCAAGAAGAATACCAAGGGTCAAATGGAAAACAATCCCACTTATTTCATCCGGGCTACATATTCATATTCTTTGAATGTTTTATTATTTTAAATCAAATAATTTTAATTTTTAATTTAAGATGGAATTAATTTTCATTTTATTATAAAATGTCAAAATGAAAATTCCAATTATATATTTTTTTTTATTTCCTTTAAATAAATAATATAATTTTATTTTTCTTCGTAGTAATTAAAATTAATGCACATGATAAACATACATTTCAATTATCATTTGATGAAAACACTTTTATTTGAGATTCTTAATATCATTAAGGTGAAATTTTTTTTCTTCTCAAATGTTAACATCTAATTACAAGATACAAGACTTGAGTCATACATTAGAAATATAAGATTTTAGTGTGAGATTTATAAAATTTTTCTTCTAGTACAACAACTAACTTTTATGGTGTGGTTGTTCCAAAATTCTCTTCAATTGGTGATATAGACTTATGTCCCCCAAATGCAAATGAGAAGTCAATGTCGGTGCAGGGGTTGCAAATTGTGGTGGGATGTTAGATCCAATTATAAGGTGTAGGACTCTCCCATATATCGGAAGTATGATAATTTTGTATGAGACCTTCTCTAAATATAAAAAGCTTTTGCGGTGTGATTTTTCCAAGATTTTTATCAATAAAACAACTACATATTTGTGACTAAAATTCTAAATCATTGATCAAGTTAACTTTTGTTAGAGTATATAATTTAGGAGGGATATAAAATATAATATTTTTCTCTTATAAACCAAATTTATAAAATTATTTTACATTATCCAAAACGTGTATTGAAAAAATACAAATTTTATATTGACTAAAAATATATTAAAAAAGATAACTCAAGGCAACAATAAACCCTAAAGTAAACCCTTACAGTCTCAGTTGGTGCTCTAGTCCTATAGGCTGTTTCTGGCTAACTAAACTCCATCTGCCACGGCAAGGGAAGTTTCTGAAAGCAGGACCAAATCTTGGCGTCATATCTTTCCCAATACGGTATCGTTTTCTTTATTTCATTACATTTTCTGTTGACGATTGAACACATTGGGCTCCCCTTTAGTGTAGTAGGCCCATTTGAGTTTGGAGTGCGAATTGCGAACGGCCCAGGCCCCCAGCATTACACTCCTCTGTTCTCTCGCAGTGTCGTGCGTGCCCGTGCGGCTAGTTCAAGGAATGTTGTCCAAAACCAAAATCAACACTCTCTCCAACCTCAACGCAAGATCAATATCAAGCCTCAAAGTGGTGTGGCGCAAGGACCAAGCACTAGACCGAGCCCTAGAGCACGACAAGCGTTACAAGCAATGTGCCCGCGTCGTCAAAGAAGTCCTCAACGAGCCTGGTCAAGTCATCCCTCTTCGCTACCTCGAAAAGCGCCGCCAAAGGATGCGCCTCAAGCTCAAAGCAGAAACCTTTCTCAACCAAAACCCCGGCTTGTTCGATGTCTACTACGATCGCGTCAAACCCAAAACCCAACCGGTCCGCTTTATCCGCGCCACCGATCGCCTTCGCCAATTTCTTCAGGAAGAGCAACGAATTCTCAAAGAGAACGAGCCCTTCGTTGTGTCCAAGTTGTGTAAACTGTTGATGATGTCGAAGAATAAGGTTGTTAGTGCTGATAAGTTGCTCCACGTCAAGAGGGAGTTTGGATTCCCGAACGATTTTTTGGTGGATTTGGTTCCTAGGTATCCTCAATATTTTAGGCTAACTGGGTTTCCTGGGGAGGGGAAATCGTTTCTAGAACTGGTTAATTGGAACCCCGAGTTTGCAAAATCTGTTATTGAGCAAAGGGCAGAAGAGGAGAGTGAGCGTTTGGGGATTAGGGTTAGGCCTAGTTTCAATGTGGAGCTTCCCCGAGGGTTTGTTTTGAAGAAGGAGATGAGGGAGTGGGTTAGGGATTGGATGGAGCTTGATTATGTATCCCCTTATGAGGATGTGTCCCATTTGGATCAGGCTTCTAGAGAGATGGAGAAGAGGTCTGTTGGAGTGTTCCATGAGCTGCTTTCACTTTCCTTGCACAAGAGGATTCCTGTGCCCATCCTTGGAAAGTTTTGTGATGAGTATAGGTTTTCAAATGCATTTTCCAGCACTTTCACAAGGCATTCCGGGATATTTTATTTGTCCTTGAAAGGTGGCATTGAGACGGCTGTGTTGAGGGAAGCATATAAGGGTGATGAGTTGATTGACCGGGATCCGCTGCTTCGGATAAAAGATAAGTTTATTGAGTTGTTGGAGGAGGGGTGGCGGCAAAGGGCGGAGCAGTTGAGGTTGAAACAAGAGAAGATTAAGGAAGATATGATGCTAATGGCCACGAAAGTTGGTGAGTAGAAGTGTGAAACAGGCATGTGGATATGAAGAGCTTTCAATTTGGAGGATTTTTGTGAGGGAAAACCTTTACCGATGCTGCCCAGTACAATCCTCCTCATTTTGTTTGATTGTTAGTCTTGAGATGCATGAATTGTTGAAGAAAATTTAAATGGTTCCCTCTTAGGACTCTGTTATTGAGAAATGTTTCAGTAACTAGCTTTTGGCTTAGTAATATTAATATATCCAGAGATCATTTTCTCACCATGTTTGTATTGATGAGAGTTGAGACCAACTTAAAATATGGAGGGTCGGGACGGATTAGTGTTTAAGTAATGTTCCCTTTTACTTGCGATCGTCTATAACAGCTAACATAATGTCAAAATGTCAGAAACCAAAGTATTGCATTGTATTCCTTGAAAATGTTAGAAGCTGAGTGTTTTCGATATATTCCATCTTGTTGAAATGCACTTATATCATAAACTTGTCCATAGCTATTGGGCTATTTAACAATCAGCTTTATCAATCTTTGAGACGCATGATAAAATAACCAAGTTAGAGTTGCGAGAAGGAGGATGTGAATGAACTTGTATTAACTTTATCTGAATCATTTTTCTTTTGAAATTTAGCAATTTAACACTGCTCCAAGCTCCAAATAATGCTTCTGGTTGCAGATCAAGACTGCAGTACATCATTGGTAGTAAAAACATGTGAAAAACACTGAATTTCCGCTTGAGGTTCCTCTGATATGTCAAAGTGAAGGAACACATTATATATCTGCTGAGGATGGAAGAGATGAGTTGCATTATTGGATGATGATGAAGTTCTGCTATCAAATTACCTTAGAGGGGCAATGAAGTATTTGCTTTTCATGCTTCATAGAACAGCTAGAAACCGGCCAAGTGTAAAGATTTTAAATTTATTATGTGTCATGCATGTTATGAAATGGTAAAATTGTTGCCTTGTGGTTGGAGGTTACACGTTCAAGTCCTACAAATAGTCTCTTTGCAAGCAGGGACAAAACTGCGCATATTTAACCTCTCCAAATCCCACTTAGTGGGAGTCTCACGCACCTGATTACCCACCTATCAATGCATTTTACTTCAAGAAAATTGTTGTTTCCAACTGTCCTCTAAATACTATTTGAAGGCTCTAAATAACAATTTCTTTTTGTTAGTGAGCATGTGTGTATTAGCAATTTTGTTTTCAACAGGATAAAGTTAGAATCTTCATGCCTGTCTTTTGGTCAATCTTTGTGAAAATTATGGTTTATCAGATTATGTTGAAGTGATCTGTACGTCAACAGACAACGTGAAAGTTATTCGATGAAGATTTTGGCTCATCGACAATGAGTGTGTGGGTGTAAGCAGAAAATGCTCATATAGCTCTCGATCATTAAACCCCTGCAACTAGCATTAACCTAGTAGGTTACAAGCAGCATTCAAACATTTGTTTTTTGAAGGTTCTATGTATTTCCGTTAGATATTTGTTTCCCACATTAAATATCTTCTAATTTGTTGGACCTTTTGCTAGAAAAGTGGGAGTTGGTCTCTCGCTCGAAGTTCTGCATGTTATTAATTTGGGCATTATCTAATACACCGTTTCCCCCACAGTGCTCACATTGGTGAGATGAGTTGTTCTAAACATTGTTCAGGAGAAAGGTTGGTGATTCAAACCCCCATTTAGAATAGTTTGCTGTTACCTACAAAGTCATCACACTAAAAGAATGAGAAATACTGAAATAGTAAGTAAGCAGAACCTCCACTCATTCTCTTGGTAATCGCATTTTATATAATCGTATTTCAGCTGAATAACAATCCACCGGAAACAAGCTTATGAATTAGCAAGTATTTAAGCAGTTCTACTTCCAAGGGACCATATGAAAAATCTAAACTCTATTGGGTTCCTGTGTATTAATTGAATTGAAGAGAGTCACGATACAAAATGAAGAGAGTCAAGATTTTCAATTTAATAACTCAGTCTCTGACATTTCTGGCATTTGTGCCAAAGATGGAGAGCCAGTTCATGCCACCATTTATTCCTTTGCCATCTCCATCTCTTCACCCACTTTGTTTATCCCAACTAGCACTAGTAAACTATGCTTGTGCAATGTTGCCTCTCAAGGCAACACCTCCATCTTTACCACTCACACCTTCACCCTCTCCTTCGTCCCCTAATGCTGATGAGGGACACAGGAGTCACCAAACTTCTCAAGAAGATGAATGTTGTAGGTGGGCTAGAGAAATAGACATCCAATGTGTATGTGAAATCCTAGTTCTATTGCCTCCCTTCCTTTCTAAACCTTTGCATCAGTACTCAATCAGCATTGGAGAATCGTGTAAGGTCACTTATTCGTGCGGTGGGCCAAAATGATTGACAAACTTACACGTTGATGCCAGGAAAAGAATCCAACCCTGTGTTAGGTTTTAAGTGTTGAAGTCATGGTTATTGTTTCTGATTCGTTGTGCCATCGGGTTTTAGAAACAGTGTGTTGTAGCACTCTCAAAAAAAGAGTCCCCAAAAAGCGAGTTGTAGGTTTCTAGCACGGTGAAAGTATTCATGATTTAGCTGAATTTATATTTAATATGAATATAAAAAGAAGCACTACGTCAGTTTTAGTCCTCTCTAATAAAGTTAAATATCACTATGATACAAAGCTATTGGCCAAGATATAACTATATAACTAAACTTAGTAGCTGAACTAACAAAAGTTTATCTATTGGTTGGTTACTGATCATCATCTCTATCACCAGAACTTATTCAGTACCATTAGCATCATACGAAAAGCTCCCTCTCTACTTGTAAATCCATTAGAGAATACAAAATAAACGCAACTGGTAGAAGGAACTGCTTTTCCACTCTTTTCTTTTGTAGGGAGGTTGGTGCATTTACCTCCGAACAGTAATGATTATAATGCCAACACAATAACCCTTCCTAACAGAGAAATTGAAAGAATAAAATAAAGTATTTAAGTATCCACAACCCCTTTTGAAATCAACGGATCCATCTCACTACAAACCAAACGGCGAGAATAATTTTAGACTGCGCTTTAAACCAAAGTTTAGGATAAATCATTATTTAGAAAGCTTTTTAGCGGCCATAGGCAGAGTGACAGAGACAATGCGAAGTGCTTACAAAATTATATCATGGGACATGTGTATTACTCTTCAGTGAAAGTGCTCATAGCTAGGTAGTTACATCCTAAATTTAGTGTTCACTTTGGTCCATTACGAGTGGATACTCTCCTCTTTTGTAGTCCTCTGATTAATAACAAAAAAAATAAAAATAAAAAGTATGAGTAGCACCCCACGATGGTCGAATCGAAGGCAACTAGGTGCAAAGGTGGAAGTGTAAGATACATGAATGTCGTAGATATCATATCATGTCACAGAATTCAAGGTTCTGACTGTTGGTCTAACAATATGGGCAATCAAGATACGTGATGCTGGAGTATTCCACTGTTCTGAATCCGCACCCTCCCCTTTTCTTATCTAATGATCCTCTGCTCTGCTCGAGTGATAACCATATACTTATTTCAGAAAACAATGTAAACTGCTTCTATACTTATAAGATAAGGGCAATAACAATTATGAGTAATGGCATGGATGGCGTTGTCCATATGGAATTGGTGGCTTTGGGGCAGTCATGAACAATAAAGGGGATAGTGATAGATTGAGGAAACATTATTTTGTGTGCTTTGATAAACTAATTTATAAGTTAACTTGAGCATAATTTTTAAGTGTGTCTGTATAGTAATCTTTTTTAATTCAATACATATCTTGATAATGAGTTAATCTTTTGAGGAGTGGAAGTTTATTAAATAAATTAATTTCTTAACAACTATTCTTTCATGGAAATGAATCTTAAAATTGAACAGTAAGAGATACGCAGTAATATTATTTTTCAATCATCTCACATGGCAGGTCAGTTGATTCGATATGGGTATCAGCAACAGTAATAATCAACAAATATAATATCAGGTTATGTCATTCATTCAATATATTCATTTGCGAAACAATATATGGGTTTGGAATGGTAGTGCGACTACTGCTTTGACCAAAAGCTGAGCTAAAGACGCATATGAGAATTGAGAATCCAACCCAACAGGGAAAGAAAAGGCATTGTTTGAAAAGATGAACTGTCTGGACCGTTTTCATTTTCAAAAAGAAAATCATATCATGGTCCTTTTGTTCCGTTAAAGACAACAAAAAACATATCTCATATCTCACACAAGACTCAAATATTAGGTCCGATTCATGATGTTCTCTTAAAAAATCGAAATAATCATTTTACAATCTGAATTTCTGAACCAAAAACTTAGGTGGCATTTAGTTCTTTTATTGTCACTTTATATCATACATTCTAATCTGTATAATTATTAAGAAATATACTAATAAAAACATACAGTTTTTTTTTTAAAGGATCTGTTTGGTATTTAATTTAAATAAAAAGCTAATCCACAAATCTTGAGTATAAAATTTCATTCCACAAAAAGAATAATTTTACATAAGATTGAAAATTAAACTCTCTGAACATCAAAAGAAAAGGTAAGTTAGTATATGTGGTTTTTAAATGTTGTCTCTTTTCAATCATTATTTAAGTCTGATCTAGAAAATCAGCCTCCATTTTAAATACCGAGTTTTAATGTATAGATTATTGAAATGATACTCCAACTTTAGTAAGTTAAATGAAAAATAACTATTTAACAATGTATTTTAAAAATTTATCCAAATAAAAATGATCTGGTGTGTTTTGTGGCAGTGACGAGTGTTAATAGTTGATGATAGTGTGATTTGAAGGAACAAAGCACACATGCGATAAATCGTACGGAATAGCGGCGATTCGCGTGATTTGAAGGACACAAAAATCCAAGTTATTCTGCAGTTATACGGACGTGATATGATTGAGATCGAGCACTTTTAATCGAATCTTTTCAGGGGTGTGCAACATTCTTCGTTTTTATCGGTGCATAGTTTCCACAAGCAGAAGATGCAATTGCATTATAAATCTCGAATAATTCGATTGCGCTTGCTTATCAATGCCAGGAACCGTGGAATCATTTCTTTTTTCCTCATGATTTTTCAAAGAAAGGGGCAAAATTAATTCCATCTCCCAACAATAACATAATTAAAAAAGATTAAGGATATGTTTAATAAAAAAAATTAAAGAATGAAAAAATAAAAAATGTCATTGTGTTGTTGAATATAATTAATTATATGTGTAAATATGATTTATTTTATTTTGTAAGTGTCGAAAGTAAGTAAACGTAATTGTATCCGTAGATGTCGTTAACATGTTATGGTTAAAAATTATCCAATTGTGGTTGACTTTATCTCTTGAATGGTTAATAATACAATGAGATTGTTGAAATGTCTAATAATAATTAATTATTTATGATAAAAATTAATCATATATTATATATGTCACTTATTTATTTTTATATATAAATTATTTATAAGCTTAATCCTTGGGCTAAATGAAATAATATATAGGAAAACTTGTCTAAATCTTGATAGTTCATTTTTTAAAAAGATTTTAAAATAATTTTTTTCTAAAAACTTATGAGCTCTTATAATTAAAGAAGGATGTAAAAAATATGCAAGAAAAGGGATATAATTTTAGAAGTGTATCCTTCTAGGTTGTTGCTAACTAATTATATAGTTGGATAAATTTACTTAATTTTTTTTTTGTATCTTTTCGCCTTTAAGGTTTGAGATTGGAGTTCCTCCAAGATTGTAGATTAACTTTCTAATAAAATTGATTGATCGATTGATCTTATCTTCTATTTAAGATTTGCACATTTACAATGTCCCAATTCATTAGGTACTAATAGTGTATTATAACGTGGCATAAATAAATAGTTATCAAAGATATATGGTCAATAATGGATATCAAGAATGAAGGGAAGATGAATTTCTCATAGGTTGGTGAACAAAAGTTGCATTCGAAAGTGGAACAAACTTTTAGATATAAAGAAAGGTTTAAACAAGAAAAAAAAGTTAGGTTTTCTTTTTTACTTGAGAGATACTTGGTCACTTGAAATGTTTTTGTGATAGTTCTCTTTATTAATAAAACATATGATGATAATATTTTTTATACTTGTGAATTTCAAGTTTGAACCCAAAATATCATGTTAAAAGAATCTAAACCTCTTCAAGTTGACCAACACACACATACTTATATATATATATATATATAAAGATACTTTAAAAAAATGAGAGGAACCAAAAGAAAAACCCCATTCTTGCTCCCTTTGTATCCGTCCCTACCATTAACTGCCTCCAAAGATACATATGGGTATTGTTTTAAGGAGCATGATAGGTTTAAAAAATACCGTAGACAAAGTGTGCAATCATTTCAAGGACCCCAAAAAAAAGTGTGTAATCATTTATTGTTTTCATTTTTGAGTTATATTATATACTAAACAATTTTTAACAACCCTTTTTTTTTTAATATTTTTCTTTTACTCCAATTTTTCATACTCACCCTTCCTCGTTCATTCTGTCTTAATTATCTCATGTCGCGGGAGAAAAAAAAATACAGGACATTTTCATAAATAATAAATTCTAAACATTATTACTGTAACAAACAGTGTAGCTTAGTTAATGAAACCGTGGCCGCAAATTATTGTATATCCTAATCCCTTAATATCGAGTTCATTTATTATAAATTAAAAGAAAAGTGTGATATTCAATGGCAACACAAGAAAGGTTAACGAAACCTGATTTTAGTTAGTGAAATTGCATACAGGCATATGAATTGAAGGATAGCAGATGATTGAGTCGTATATCTTAGTAGCAGATAATTTACTTTGATAAAACTCTTCCTCCGCAGTGTTTGATGATTTAAAAAAGAAAACATAGGTGAAAAAAAAAAAGAAAGAAAAAAAAGAGAGAGAGAGGTAGCTTAGTAAAAGTATCTAGCACGTTAACGTTGCGGCAGGGGCAGGCATAACGGTTTGTGCAGTGGGCAATCTAAGTGGAGAAAAGGCGTTAGCAGTATGAGTATGGGTGGTGTTATAGAGAAAGCGAGCAACGATCCTAGCACTAGGCTCCGCCACCAGCTTCTTCCAGGCCTGGTTTGCTTCGTCCCCACGCTTCCGAAACACGGGCGTGGCATCCAACCGCTGAATTTCCCAGCTCTTAACATTCCTCAGCCTCCGAATGTTGCCCAACTGCTTCATGGCCAACATGCACGTGTTCAATTTCACTTCCTTAATCGAGCGTTCCAACAACCTCTGCCTCGTTTCCTCCTCCACAAACCCCTCCCTCCGGAAATACTCGTCGAATTCGGGGACTCCAATGGCCCGTCTAACCCCCTGCGAATACTCCCCGTTAGGACTATAAAAGGGTCTCAACTCATTCAACATTCCGTTGCAAAGCATTTGGTCGACCCGGTCTGCCACGTAGGATTGGAGCTCCGGCATTGCGACGTCGACCCAGAGGCAACAAAAGTCGTAGCGCGAGCGGAACTTGTAATCGTCGTCGTCGATGAGGGCCTCCAGATAGGAGTTGGAGCCCCCCACGATGATTGGGAGGCGGTGGCGTGCCGTGATGGAATCAAGGGCCGATAAGGACATGTGGCAGAAATCAAGGGCTGAGAAGTGGGTGTTGGGGTTTTGTGTTCCGAGAATGTGGTGCGGCACGCCACGTTGGTCCTCCTTGGAGATTTTGTTTGTGACTATGTCGAGCCCCTCGTAGGCTTGGATTTTGTCCGAGTTTATGATTTCGGATGGGAAACACGTGGCAAGGTCAACGGAAAGCCTTGACTTCCCTGCCCCTGTGCCTCCCATTACCACCACCACCTTCTCTTTCTCAATTTGCCTCACATTCATTTTTTTCCCACTGCAAGGCACGTTTACTAGGGGTTCTCCTACTCTGCACATAAACATTGACATCGTCATCGGAATCAATTCACACTAACTCACACAAGGACTCCAGTAGTAGCAAATTGAGGATGAGGAAGGGGGTTTCACGAATATTTATAGCCTAGACAAAATGGGAGGAAGAGGTCAAAAGTGTCACTCTCTGCTTCTCTGTTGCTGAATAAAAACTAGTATACGAATTATTGATTGTCAACTTGGTGTCGTCAAATATTCTGCCAATATTTATAATTACTTTATGCCATATACAAATGTTAATGGTCCACTCAAGGCTGAACCAAGGTCTTGTTTCTGCCAAACCAGTGGGCACGGTAGGTTCTATCTTAGTGGGTTATATGGCATGAAGCGCCCAATTGCATAAAGAATATATGTATGATAAGCTCATTCTTATTATTATTCCCTATTTTTTGTTTCTTTTCCATTTTGTCTTTATATGTATCTGCGTGTTTCCGCTGAGAGCTAGCTACCGTAGAGTGGTTAGAGCAGCTTTTCCACTCATCGTGTCTCACTATTCATTCATAAAGACAAAATTTTAAATTTCCACCCATGTCTTTAAATTACTCTCATATATTCACATGTGCACAAAACAAATTAAGTTCTTTTTGTAAATCAATTCATTATTCTATGCATCTGGGTTAGCTTATTTTGATGAAATAATTATTTTTTATTAGTTTCTAATAGATTTTTATTTTTCATAAATAATGTGTTACTAAAGATGGAGTCTTTAATAAATAAAATGTTGTGTATTCATTAAGACAACGACTAGGCTAATTGACTTAACATGGATGTTATTTTACTGGTAAATCAAATATAATAAGACAAAAAATGTTCGACTTTCATTCATGTTGGATGCGACAATGTACCTTTCTCCATTCAAACATTCTGGTGATAAAATTGCACTTTAAAAATGTGAAGGTGTCTAAGAATTCAACTAGAGATATGATAAAAAGGTTAAAGATGTATTAAAATAATTCAATATTAAAAAATATGTTTATTCGCTTCAACTTTGTTTACTTTGTGAATAATATGAATATTCCTTTTTAGCTAGCCCTATACATATGTATAACTGGGCTACCACGAATGTTCACTTAACTAGTAAATCAAATAGTAGGACTCAAAAAAGTATGAGTTAAATACTCATTCCTGTTTGACGGGACTTAAACATTTGTGTGGGAATCAATATATTTCAAAAAATGTCATTGTGGGTGAGAATTTAACTAAATAGATTACAAGATTCAAAATGTATGAAAATTTTAAACAATAAAGAGATTATGTATTATTCGCTTCAACTTGTTTGGTTTGCGAATATTATTGTTTTGCCTCACCCCGGGAGTAATTAGCCTGCTTAAAATTTTAGTGTTAGATAATTTCTTAGTAATTTAGTTTTTGATCATTAATTTGCTTAATATTTCTATATCTGTTTATGACAAACTATTCTCTGTAATTTTGCATAATGTGGTTATTTGTAAAAAATTGTAATCGCATGAGGTAATTAGCTATCATAGTTTTTTTCTCAATAAAAAAGCTATGAGTTTAAACCGTATTTTTATATATAATACAAAAATAAAAATAATAGGATTATTTGTGAGAGGAAGAAAGTTAAAGTAAGTATTTAATAATTTTTTTAATACAAATTACGATAAGAGATAATTCTGTTTAAACCATATAAAATCATACATTAAAAAAAATTATTTTCAAATATTAGAAACTGTCAATTTTGTAAATTTAACATAGTTATATATCTAAAAAAATTCCAAACAATGATTAGCTTAAACAATACCATATTAACTTATCAGTGACAAGTTATGTGCGTAATTAATTAGATATAGAAATTGAGCGTGTGAGTGACTAGAAAATGTGTTTCGTGATTCATGTGCACGTGCTTCTAGTGACCAAATTGGTTAGTGAGTCATATATATCTGGCAAGCTTCCATACATAAGCAGATCGTGAATGTCGATGTGAAATAGAAGCATGACCTAAGCAAACTGCATTTGTTCTGATATGAACCGTAAAGAACGTACTGGGTTTACTTTCAAGATTGATAGTGACGACCGACGAAGGAATTGGCCATGGTAAGATAATTTGAGATTCGTATAGGATATATATATAATTTTATGGATCCTTGTTCGAATTGATCCATGCAAATTAGTGTGAAGCGTCATTTTATTCTCCAAATTCAACTTCCATTTCAATTTCACATGTTTTGTCTTATACATTCATACAGTGATCGATCTCCAACACAATCGAATCTAAAATCTGGACAGCATAACTTGAGATTCTTGTAAGACAATGCAGGGTGATCGTTTTGCTAATTCATCAAACTCGGTTACGAAAGGTACTTTCTCCTATCCAAAAACCCAAAAATGGATTCCTATTCCTTTATGATCAAGTCGGTTTAAGTAATTCAAATTATATGTACAATTAATTACTTTGCCTCAAATATTAATATTCACATACATCAACTAAAAATCACCAGTACAGAAAAAATCTGGGAATAAACAAAATATTCTTAATAATCCAAACGAATATTATTATCACATATATAATAACGAAAACACTTCATAATAAAAATATTTTGAAGCAAGTAATATTTTATCAAACAAAATTTCAACTAATTCCGAGAAATGAGTTAGTTCCGCTGAGTGTTGTTTACCTTCTATATATGTCATTGTTGGCGTTCTTCTCTATTAGTGCGGTACATAATTATAAGAATAGTACATATTCCATCCTCAAATTGTCAATATTGAGTGTAAGTATATATTCATCATTTCATTGTCTTCAAAATAAATGTAAATAAATAAATAATTTTTATTATAAATCACGGTGGATGTGCTAATAATGTTAGTTATTTAATGGTTAGCCATACAAAATGGAATTATGTTGTATTAAATAGTTTGTTTCAATATTTTTTTAATAAAAAAAATTCTCTTTCTAGTTAATTTTGCGTGATCACGTGTTTATCATATATAATTAATTTTAATCTTAAAATAACATTAAAATAATACCAAGAAAAACTTTGCCACTTCAATATATGTTGACTTTTTTTTTTTTTTGTGTGTGTGGTTATGCTGAATAGACATGCATTTGTGCAAGGCTTGGGTTTCATTTCTCAATTTAAACTCAAAGTACGTAGAATGCTGATAAATATAATTCTTAGAGCATAGTTAAAGTATTAAAAAAAATACTAACATGCTTTTATTATGATTTCTGGTCTAATAACGATTTTCAAAAGAAATTTAAGTATATATATATATATATATAATTTCTTACTCGATTTTCTTAAAACATTGGTTAACCCAGGAACAGAACTAGAAAAATATGTTAAGGGAACGAAAATTTATTACATAATAAATAAAATATCAGGAATAAGGATACGGAAAAAAAAATATTTTCATTACAATTTTTTAAATTTGATTATTTATTAATTCCTATAATTTCATTAAATATTTTACTTTTTTAATTAAAACATTCTATTTTAATTTCTATACATAATTTTTGTTTGGTTCTATTTTAATCATCAACGTTTATTTTTATAAAGACTAAAAAGAGATGTTTATGATACTAAAAAAGAAAAATTATATAATTATAGAAACTAAAAGATAAACTTTATGAGACTATAGAATAAAAGAAAAAAGAATAATATATATATAAATTAAAATAGAAATCCTTTAATTATAGGAATAAAAAAAACTTTACATTAAAAAAATAAGTTCATGAAATTATAAGAATAAAAAATAATTTTTTAAAAAAAATTTAAAGATTTTTTTTAATGTATAAAGTAAATAATTTTTAAACTAAAAAATAACTTGATAAAAAACAAAAAAAAAAATTGTTTTTCCAGAAAAGAATTTTTAAAAAAAAACATTACTACAATATGTAAGTGCTCGGTAGTTAAGCAGGGGTGTCAAATTTAAAAAGATATTTAATTATTTGGATGCGATTAGATGTAACATCATGTGCAGTTAAGCGATTTATACTTGGTTCTGTCAGTATTAATCCAAACTTTAAAAGTAAATGTAATTTTTAAAAAGAATATCTTTTAGGATTTTTTTTTAGAAATTAATAATTTTATCTAATAAGAAAAATGCATTTTTTTATTTGTCTTTTGAAGAACAAACATATCTCTTTTTTTTTTGTAAAATTATTATTTTATAATTTAATTAGGTAGTACGTTTTATCTTAAAAAAATCAAACAGACGTACTTTTTTTAATATATTTTTTATACAAATAAATAAAAAACCAAAAGCCTACTCATTTAAGCTTTTGTTCAGTCATTCAAAAAATTCATTAATTTTACTTTTAATAAATTACAAATTTATTTGGCTATACTATTTTTACACTACTTCGTAAACGTTCTATAGTTTACATAGTAAAAATATTAAAAGATAAGAATAAAATTAAAAAAAAAATAATTAAAACCACCTCTTTCTTTTGAATTGACATTTTAGAGGAAAAAAAACACTCATATTCAATGTATAAAAAATTTAAGAAATTATTATGTTTGTAATTATACCTATATCTTAATTCTTAATAATTGGATAAAGCTGTTAATATTATAAAAGCGTGTACTAAATTTAATTTATTCTCACACATTTAATTTTCACATGTTAGGATATTTCAATACCTCATTAATAACTATTGTCGACAAGTAACAGTACATACTAATTGAAAAGAAAAAAAGAAATGTAGATAAGAAGATTGATATTAATCACATTTTCAATACTTATAATTACCTTAAGGCTTGAACGAAATTTAAAATGAAACGGTGAAAGTACTTTTTATTTATTTTCTAAAGTTACAAATAATTTAAAATAAACTAATCTTTTAAAGTGACAATCATTTTAAAATAGAGGTAGTAAAAAATGTGCTCCTTCCACTTTAAAATAATTATTTGGTTTGCTCCATTTGATATCTTCCGTAAATGAAATTAAAAAAAAATGTAATAAAACGTAATATATTTAAATGAACTTCTATTCTATGTGATTGAAAGTATTTGATGATTTAGTTGCTATGTAAAATCTTAAATGATGGTTATTTTGAATGAAATGAGATATATATTTTATTAAGAATTTGCTGCGCATTAAGAAAAGATTTAATGCATGTTTGGTTTATCTTAATTTAAGAAAACAATCACTTATTTTTAACATTTTTTTTAAGAATACATTTAATAGATGAACAAATATTTGTTAAAATTAAATCATTCTAACCAATCAATTATTTAAGATATGCCGATAGAGACAATTATTATAAAAACAAATGTCCAAAGGTACTATTATAAAGACAATAATTTTCTCATAAATTATCATTAAAAAAGTAAAGACTATTATTATAAATTAAAATAATAATAGTGATAATAATAAAACACAAAATAACATTTCATAACGTACTGACATGCGGTATAATCTGTCAAGTTTCACTGAATTGATCACTTAATGGACCAAACTGCTGACCGAAATTTCCATTTAAGGAACCAATTTGAGGCGTCTTGTAAAAGGGTGACCAATTGATTCAAATATGATGTTTATACACTATCACCTAAACATAAATTTTCATATAGGAAATTTTGTAATAATTCCTGCAGTCCTTTTTTATAAATAGAAATAAATTTTACACTATTATTTAAAAAATAATCAGAAGTAGTATATTTACAATATTATTTCTGAATATCTATTATTTCAGTATGCAGACATGTAAGTTCAATCCCCAAACAAAGCAAACAGTCAGTCAATCAATTAAAAATTAATTCAAGGATACCATACCATTGAATATCTCAGACTTCGTAACTTAAAATAGATTTCTGCTGGACATAAAAGCAGTTACCCCCAACCACTAAACATAGTATGGTTTTTCAAACAATAATCATACTAAGGATTGAGTTAGATGAGATTTTGATAGTTTGGAAGAAGTCATAACATAAACAAAAATAATAATAATACTGCCACTGTGTTGTAGAAATGATCCATAATGGAGAATTATTTTGTCAGACAAGTGCACTCCCGCCAAACATTTGCATGGCTTCATCCAACTCATCAACCAAAGCCATAGGCAGAAGAAAAAGACCCTTACTCTCTAGTAGCTGACCAGCTGCTGCTGAATGTTCTTCAAGTAGTTTCCCAATTATCTCCTCAAGGGGTTCATTGAGCATTTGTTGATTAATATAATGGCCGTAACCCTGCAATATAAAACATAGAAGGATATGTACTCAACGATTAGACACTGTCATGTGAGGAACTATTTTTTTTTCTTCTTTTTTTGCAGCACGCTCATGAATTCGTAGTGCTTCTGTGTATCTACTAAATTTAAGGATAAATGTGTACCTCATGAAAAACTAGTGGTATAGCAGTTGAGTCCGCTTGCAATCTACTTCCACTTTGTTCCTGCAAAGACTAATCTCCCTTAGTTATCGTAGATCCTCTATCTGGTATTAACTTATTGAAACTAATGCTGTCCTAACTTATTGTATCACGTCCATCTTTTCCCTTCTGCCATTTATTACACATGTAACATGACAATAATAATTGGAAGGACACCCTGAGCATGTATTAATTTACCTTTATTTGAAGCTGCAAATATTTGACATAGTCGATTATATCGTCTAGTACGTACGCTTGACTTCCCTACAAATAATTCAGTTCACCAAGTAAATGTAAAATTAAGTCCAAATTAAGTGGATGAGAGCTGTCTAAGTAAAATTTTCTGACAATTTGTTTTCATTTGTGCAAAAGAATTAACATAAAGACACTGTCTAAACATATTCAAACACTTGAGAATAGAGTTTGTTAACATTTCTGGTGATTCAGTTTGAGTAGTAGATCGAAGTTAGAAACATCACGCTATTAATGATAAATTGAAAACATACTAATAAACCCCACCTTTTGCTAAACCAATGTTTATTCAAAATCAACAGTTTACCTCTGCTGGATTTGGAAGCAATTCGTGTAAGGCTTTGAGGTTGTCAGCAATACGTTGCCTGCGTTGCTATATTGAAGATCACATGGGTAAGAAAGAAAGATAAATTGTGTTAAAGAAAAATGGAGTATGATTGTTAAGACTAAATTTAGCATTGGTGTGGCCAACGCCAATGGCTAGTTCTACTTACACGGTCAGTGACACGTGCTTTCTGTTTTGAGGAGCTGCATCCTTGTTTTGGAAGTAAAGCAGGTGCACCAACCATTACCATTGGATTATGCTTATCTCCAACTGAATCTGCTGTCCATGAATCATGACTCTGTCACAAGATTACAGCAGAAAACATTTCAGAATCTTTAAAATATTTTAACAATTGCACAGGCACAACAACACAATCCATGTGATATATACATGATGGAAAGGCGTTAACCGACCTCAGGATAAAGAAGATTTTGACCACTTTCAGTTTCAACTTTAATTACTTCCTCTCCTTCATCACCCCTCCAAAACCCCAACTGCTGAAAACAAACATATAAAAAAAAAGGCACACAGCTTGATGAGGGTATCCATGCTATGATATTAATTTTCACTAAATTTACTTACACAGACGGATTTTATTTATTTTGTTCAAAGGGATTGATTACCTTCCTAATATGAAGGTCATCACTAGAAGAAGCAATAGGCTTAAAGGCACAAACTTTTCCTGGATCATTGTAAAAGAAGTTTCTGTCTGTTCCACTGACCCCATTACCATCATTGATGTTTCCAAGAGGCAGGTAACTGTTCCCAAACATGTATTCAGTGGAAGAGTTTGGCAGATAAGTTGAGGATTCTGAAAGATACTCTACATAGTTGTGAGATGGCTTTGGGAGGCAAGTCCAGTGGCTTCCATTTCTGCCAGAAGATGCTGCAGTGACAAATTTTGGGTTGGGAAATAGATGAGGCTCAGCTGAATAAGAGACATCATTGCTGGTTCCCCCAGTGTCACAGGACATTAGTTGCACATGGTTCTCTTGGTTACTTTGCTCTTCCATTACTAACACATTGGAAAAAAAAACAAGGGAGAAATCATCTGCATGTAAAAGGAAAAAATAGTATATAACTTGTGTAACTAAAAAACTAGTGAAGGAAAGAACTTTCTCACCACCAAATGAAAGCAAAGGTGCTGGGATTGCAATATTTTGGAAGCCAAAGTAATGGGTTTGATTTTGTGAGGAGAATGTTGTAGAAATGAAGAGGAGAAAGAGTGAGCGTAGTAGGGTTTGCGGTTGCGAGTGAGCGTGCTCTGTTTCTGCTCTGCTTCTTGATGCTCTGTTATTGCCAGCTACGTACGCACGCAATGTGCATTGTGGAGTGCTGCCAATAGTACTGTGATTCTGGTGTCTGCTACCGTTCAAATACCCAATATACCCCAAATATTAGTTATAATTAGGGATTCTGTAAATATTTTTATGTGCCATTAGAAAAAATATTTTTATGTGAGCTGCCATTTGTTACAATAATAATGTTAGGGGAAAAGAAAAAAAACCTTCAAGAGAAAACAAGGTTGCTATAACAATGTTAGTAAAGTTATTTCTGTCTGGTGAGACATTTTTTTTAGATATATTTTTATTATCTTTATTTATTGAATGATTTAAATATAATTTTGATCTTTATATTATATTATAATTTTTTGTTTTATTTTTTTATTATTTTTTAATTCTTAGAATTTTTTTTTTCTTGTAATAATTGAAAATTTTGTTTTTCAAAGAAATTAACTCAAAATATTATAAAAACTAAAATGAAATAACAAGGATAAAAATTAAAATAATACAAAGATCATTTAAAAAAAAAAATTTCATGAACTAAATTAAAACATCAGTATATTTTAAGAATCGAATAATGACTTTTACAAATACAAAAAATATTATTGTTTACAATAATTCTATTTAAATAAACTAATATTAACTATAGTAAAGAGTGACTATGTTTTAAATCAAGAATGTGTGCGTGTGTGATATACAATAAATAAAGTCAATAAATTTTTAATTTGTTTGGTAAAGTACATGTTTGAGTGAAGATTATCTCTTATCCAAATATTAGTTTGATTGATAAAAATTCATTTCAACTATTTTTTACGTAAATATATTTTTAATATCTTAAATTTGAAGTAAATTATTCTTTTATTTTTTAAATTAAAATTATTTTTTTAATTCATCTATTTTTTTTATAAAAAAAAATTTAGTGTCTTTAACCATTCACAACATCATCGACAAGAACAAATTGAGTTTCTATAGCAATAATTGAATTTGATGTAATATTTTAATTAATATGAACACTAATAATAAATTACATGTAATATATTCATTAATATCATTTAAACCAAAAACTAAAATAAATTATTTTTAAAATTATAGTTATTAAAAATATATTTTAACTTTGAGAATAAAAAAAGGTTAAAACCTTTATTTAGTCCCTTATAATATTTTTTTGTTTCAATTTAGTTCCA